GAATGATGCTTGTCAGCCATGACTTCAGACTCATCCAGCAGGTAAGGACAGCTGTGAGTTTTATCAGAGCCCCTTTTTAACATTTTAGTGATCAAAACAAGGTGTTTTCAACTGACTGGCTCTTACTTGTGCCAAAAAGATGGGTGAGTGAAAAAAAAGAATCATAATTCCCCTTCTGTGTTAAACAATTACTGAGGTGGCCCAGGAAAACATTAGGCACTTAAAATAAAATAAAAACCACCACAAATGTCAAGTGTTGATCTATCAGCTATAGCTTTGCCTGCAAGTTCAGGTATGATTTTATTTTTCACTGTGATAGATACAAGTAGTTCAGGTCAAGAACTACTTTCGTTTCATTTACCAATTTATCAAGAAAGTCTTTTCGTCTTAGTCCATGAACAAAATCAGAAGTATAGAGGGGCCTAGGATTTTCACTTCTAAAAATCTTGTATAAATTATGCAGAAAACACCGGGGAAAATGTTCCCCTCTAGATACTTTGGTAGTCTAAATGTTATCAAACTTTTCTTGCCAGACATTCTATTTCAGATAGTAGTTTTTAGTTAACTTTATAATTTTGGTAAGATTATAAAATTTTGTACTGCAAACCTCTCTCCTCCTTGTCTGCCTCCTCTTCCTCCTTGTGTGTTTGCTCTCAGGTGGCACAGGAGATCTGGGTCTGTGAGAAGCAGACAATCACCAAGTGGCAAGGGGACATCCTTGCCTACAAGGAGCATCTCAAGTCGAAGCTGGTGGATGAAGACCCACAGCTCACCAAACGGACCCACAACGTGTGAGCTGAGAGCCTCCAGCCCCTGTTCTCCGTGGGGCTGGCGGTGGCCACGCGACTCGCCTGCCCACTAGCAGGAAGGGAACTGCTGCTCCCTCTGGCTGTGTTCTAGGATTGCTGCAATACTGCTTCCCTTCGACTTGCCTTGCACCTCTATGTCTGGACAGAGCTGTTCTCTCCTGATCTGGCTACGTTTGGGCAACTCTTCCCTTATTTAGACAATGTCCCATCTGAGCCAGGCCTTGGAATCTGTTGGCTTGGGGTCACAACGGTGGCCGTCGGGGTGTCCAAGCTGCAGTGATACACAAGTGGAAACCCCAGCCCAGCTTCTCCTGCCTTTTCCTTCCCAATTTCTGCTTCAGTTTAGATTCTTCACTTCAAACTCCTCTGGCCTTGGTTTGTTTTTAACTATTATTTAACAGTGTAATTAACAGATTTGCCCGAGAATCCATCAGTCAATAAAGAGAGAAAAACAATCTTGTCTTGTTTGTGAGCCATGGTAGTTGTGCTGAGCTTTGAGTGAGATCAGCCCTTCCTGCTAAATGTGCAGTTCCTCAGTACAACCAAAGCTGTGGCTGGAACCTAAGAGCTGTGAAGTGGTGAGTACTGAGCTGTGGAGGCAGTGAGCAGGGTCCTCACACCTGGGGCACCTCTGCTGAGCCAGACTGACCACTGCATTTCCAGTGAGTCACAGAACAAGCCACAAATGCTTCTGTTGTAGGCAGTGACAGACACAACTTTAAAGTGTTCTGAAGATCAGTGTTAGAGACAGAACATACATCTATGGAACACCAGTGTGTGTTCTCACCAACACAGTGGCTCAGGTGTGGCATTTTGCTTCACTTTGATTTGTCTAATGAGACTCAATAATGTAGGAATTTTGGACTATGAATTATTAGTTCCTTGTTCCTTGCAGGTTTGTTTAGCTAAGACTAATCAACTGAAGTTTATTTTTGTTCTCAGTAACAGATTTTTGAAAAAGTTGGTGTTCGAACCTCACCCTGAGCCACAGAAACTTGAATAAAATACATATTTAATTTACTATGCTAAAGAGAAAGGTAGCAAATTGAACTTAATAGCGTTTTTTGATCATGAGTCACCATTTTAATGACTTCTGACACATGAGAGTGGCAGCACTGGTCACAGGAAAGGTTCATGTAGCCCAGCAGCCCATCCAGCAGCACAAGTTGCTGGATGAATGGGAGGACAGGACAAACAAATGACTTGTGCTCCCATGCAGTGCATTCTTTGTTGCCAACTCACTGGCTTTGACTTTTTGAGGAGTATTTCCTTCTTTTCCTTTCCCAAAGGGCCCATACAAGTTGTGACTGCTGCTGTGGAAGCACTGAGTGTCATCCATAGGACAAATGTCACAACGCAAGCTGCTTCCAGTACATCAAGTACAACCTTCAGGTTTTTCACTGATTCTAGCAATGATCTGAGAGGAGAAAAATAATATGTTTTCTGGGGAAATAATGCAATTAGTATAAGTGCTTCCAAGCTAGTTCTGCAAGAAAGGTCTAGATGGCAGTAAATGCCACTTGGATGAATATCTCACAGTAGAGGATTTGGAAGTTATCAGGTAGAGCAAGGGAGTGAAAACTGACAGGAAAGTGATTACGTGAAAGACTGATGGGTCACAAGTTAAACAATAATAGATTAACACATGTCTTTGATCTCTCTAGGTTGTAGGAAGTAGTGTTGGTGAGTTGGAAAATGTGAAGTAGCTCAGAATGGTAGGGTCAGAGTCCTGACTGAAGCAAGAGCTATTTGTCCTATGCCTCTTTTCCTTAGCAAAGATTTGGCAACAGTCCGTCTCACTACATTACAGATACGGGGGTAATAAACACAGGATGCAATCTTACACCGAGTTCTTTGGGAATGGTAAGTCCTGAGAATGGCCTGCGGACACTGGGATGAGAGCCAGCACAATGGGCAGTAGTTGGTGTTGTAGCTCGTGGAGCCAAGAAGAGCACTGTTACCTTTCTGCTGCTGCAGAGAGAGGAACTTTTCAGATGCAGCCACGTCTCTGATGTATGAAGAAGAACCACAGATACATGTTTAAAGCAAAAGCAGCTGTAGCTGCACTAGGGGTCACAGTGGGTGAGGATTTGTGAAATGGAATCTATAAATGTGCTTTATCAGCCTTGATTTAACCTCGATTTGTTCTGTGGTGACAGTTTGTTGGGCTGTGCTGAAGCAGCTGTGGCAGACAGATGTCCTGGATCACTGATCTCAGAGACAGCCACAAGCTGGGGCTTTCAGCTGAGAATTTTCTGGTTTTGCAGAAAAGCAAAACTATCAATAAATTACAAGAATTGTTCCTTAGTTGCTGGGATGGTAATTTCTGTAAAAGAAGTGACCCAGCACCTGCACAGTCACACTTGCCTGTTATCCAAAAGGAAAGTTTGCTCTAACACAGGCACAACCAGAAGTGGCAGGTGCAGGCTTGTGGAATTCCCCTTGTGTGTGTGCTGCAAGTAGATCCATACACCACAAACCAGCAGCAGGATAAGTCAGGCCCAGCACACAGCAGCATGTACAGCCTCTAGCACATGCAGACCAGGGAAGCAGATGGTAATTCTCCAAACCTGAGAGTTCAAAGCTGACTGTACTGTTCAGCGGATGAGCTTCCACCCTTGGTGCCTGAAGGCTCCCTGTGTCTAATGCTGAGTGACCAGTTGCTGCTCCTTCACCAGTGGGCTCCCTTCCAGCTAAATAGTTTTTTTTAGAAAAGACAGCTGTGTGTTTATCACTGTGTAAAGCTGTGTATCACAAACAGGGTGGCAGCTGGGGCAGGACACAACAGCCCCCAGCTCCTTCAGCACAAGAATCCCTTCCTGTGTGCTGTGACCTGGGACCAAGATAACACATCTCCCATTACAAGGAGGGTGGTGGAATGTCCCTCAGAGGGGGAGGGACTGTACTGTTCCTAGAAAACACACGGCCCCTTACAAAGCACAAGTGGTGATATCCTCTGCTACTCACTCCCAGTATTAGTCACTCCTGTTTCAAGAAGATGCCACTACCACATAGCTTCACAAGCCCATTCTCCTTCACAAATACACTGACATGGCCATTCCAGCCTGTACTGCCTGATCATTGATGTTTCAGTTTCTGGGAGCAAGAATCATGCCGTGTCACTGACCCCCCCTTGCCACTGTGACAGTTACTTGCAGTAGGGGAGGGTGATTGGGTGCCTCCCCATGAGGACAGGCTGAGAATAAAACAATTCAGCGAAAAACTGTGGGCTGCACAAGCAGTAGCAGAATCACTGACTGATGAGTAGGTCTCCCAAGCTCACACTTTGGAAGATATGATTTGCTCAGGGTGTGCCAGTATGATGTGTATACGTGAGCAGGAGACTCCACGTGGGAGCACAGAGACCCTGGTGTGTTCCGCCACCAAACAAGCATGCTGGTGTCCCCTTTTATGAAATGACTGTAGTGGTGTCCACTGAAAACCTTCCTTTTCTCTCCAAAGCACAGAAAACTTTTGTTCACATCTCTGATGTGTTGCTCCATGTTTTTCCTGGCTAAGCCTAAATCCTGTGTCACATTTACCCCCATTAGTGTAATCAATGGTTTCCAAGACAGATCAAATCCACACTTTGTGTGTCAGCCCTCCACTGCATGTCCCCTGACATTCTAGGCTCTGTTGTATGCAGCAGGTGGGATCCCAAGAGCAGGCTAAGTAGCAGGGGAAGTTTGGCTGGTAGGGTTTTGTTTACAGTGTTTACAGATGCCATCATTTCATCTCTGGACCAATGCTTCCTACAGTTACTGGGTTTCCCCTGGTGGCATTACCTGTTCCGTAGCACAGATGTGACTCCATTTGATTCTGGAGTACCTAGAGTACTCCAATCCACAGCCTTCCACCAAAGAAAGATCCTTCCCTTCACCAAACCCCTTTTGGACCTGGGAATGGCTCTTCTCTGGTAATTCTGTCCCCTGTAAATCAGATGCTTTTGCTCTTGCCCTTCTTTGTCCAGGTTACACTCAAACCTGTCAGGTCTGAAAGTTTAGCTGCATCTGTCACTTCCAAGCTCCTCTCAGGCCAGCTGCTTTTCGTTTAGTGCAAAGTGGAACCATCAGCCACAGGTGTGTACTTGTCCTGCTCCTTGGGGGCCACAACTGAGGCAGGTTGGGTTCTGCTGCCTGTGCTATATAAACAGCCCCACAGCACTTACTGGTTGCTCTGTTGGAGGTTAGGATGAGCTCAGAACTTCTGAAGAGAGATGGTAATCCTGCTGCTTCTGGGAAAAAAAGATCTAAGAGGAAGCCTAAGAGAAAGGAAGTGTTTTCAGTCTACATTTACAAAGTACTGAAGCAGGTGAGTAAATGTTTCTTTTCCACTAGAAGCTGCTTTGTATATAATGTAACTTTTCACCTGTTGTGTCTTAACACCATAAAGAGTAAGGAAGAAAAATCTGAGTTTCTAGAGAGATGGGGAAAGAAAAAAAAGTCTAAGTGTGGGTACAGGAGAACCCCAGCTGAAGCTTAGAAGTTGAGGGGGTGGATTGTAGTGGTAGTAGAGATGGATCTAGAGTAGAAAATATTTCCTGGAGGGAACATGCTCTGGTGCTTAGCTCTGACTGAAGAAGTAATTTCATGGAAGTCAGTATAGTAGAAGCAGCTGCTTCTGGCCCTGTGAGTAGGTGTCTGGTGATTTTTGATGGGGAGGTGAGAGCATTTTTGGAAGTGTCCATGTGTTTTCTAGGCCACAGTTGTCAGCACGAGCCTGTAGATAAGACTTGGAGACTGATTTCCAGCCCTCCCAGCGCCATGTTTTTCATGGGGATTGTGGGGAGGCTTCTGCTGGTGTGATGTCAAAGCTCCTGTAGCATTATGGGAGCCTATCCTGAGTTTAAAGTGGCCCATGATTTGAAACCCTTAAAGGGTGGCAGCTACAGGTACTTTTGGAGTTAGTCTGGGCTGGAGAATGGGTCTCCCATTCCTTACAGGGTGATGGGCATGTGAGATTGAGACAGTGTTTGATTACCATCTGGCAGGTGCACCCTGACCTCGCCATCTCCTCCAAGGCCATGAGCATCATGAACTCCTTTGTCAATGACATGTTTGAGCACCTGGCCTCGGAGGCCTCACGCCTGGCCCAGTACAGCCACCGTGCCACCATCACCAGCCGGGAGGTGCAGACGGCAGTCAGGCTCCTGCTGCCCGGCGAGCTGGCCAAGCACGCCGTCTCCGAGGGCACCAAGGCCGTCAGCAAGTACACCAGCAGCAAGTGACCAACAGGGCCCCAGGGAAACCAACCCAGGGCCAGCTCCTTCTCCTACAGGAGTTGGTATTTGGTCTTATTCAACAGAAAAAGCAAAACCTCCTGTTGCCTGCCTACAAATAAAAAATGCATAGAAACGCAGAACGTGTCTTTAATCTTTGCATCACAAATTGTGAGGCAGTTTAAACTGTGGCCATGGGGATTGTTTGGTAGGGCTGGAAGAACAGCTGCTGTTTGAAAACCACCACATGCAACTAGAAGCAGGGACCACAGGGCCTGCCTGGGGAAAGCTGGGGTTATTATGGGAAGCATATTGGGTTCTCTGAAGTTCTCCAAACTATGGCTTTCAGATTCCTGACTGCTAAAAACTTCTGCTACCTGTGACTTTCCTGCTGTTTTTCAACTGCTTCCTAACTGTGATGGGTCTTTCTGCCCAAGTTATCAGTTTATGCTGGTCAGAGGAGATGCTAAATCTCCTTGGGTCAATAGGATGAAGCTAGCACTGGGTAAAGGGTTTTTCTAAAATGTTTATAAACTATTTTCAACGCTATTGTTCTCTGGTTTGGTTTGTTGTTTTTTTCTGGTGGGCTGTGGGAATGAGGGTTTTTCCTTGTTAGCTGTTTTTGTTTTCTTGTTTGGTTTGGGATTTTTTTGGTTTTTCATCTGGTGAAAACTTTCTCCTTTTCTGGGAGAGGCAGAACTGAAGCAAAATGAGCTTCACTGCCAGGAAAACCAAATGGTTTTCTTTCCAGACATGTGGCCATCATCTCTACTTGTTTCCAGAGTCTTTAAAGAGACTTTTATCTTGCAGGGCTCTAAACTGGGCTACGACTGGGTGTTGTGTGTTCTGCCTTGGGCCATCATATTAGTGACTGGCCCTCACTGCCTTTCCTTGTATCCCCAGGTGCTTCTTACAGGAGGGATCCAGGGCCCTGAAGGGAACATGAGCAAGTTCAGTCTGTCCACGTGGAGCCTGGGCAGCCTACAGGGCTGAGTGTTGTGCCCAGGGCCATGACCCTGTGTGGATGGCTTGGCTGCCCTGTAAGCACATCACCGTCTTGGGATGTGTGGGGCTGTCCTGGATCCCTGCGCAGAGGGTCTGTGGTGGAGTGAAGAAAATGCGGTCCATGTTCTGGGTGGAGATCACAGAACAGTTTCAGCTGAAAGGGACATAAAGCCCATCCAAGCCTACCTCCCTGTCACAGGCAGGAACACCTTCCACTAGACCAGGCTGCTCCAAGCTCTGTCCAACCTGACCTTGAATGCCTGGGCATCCACAGCTTCTCAGGACAACCTGTTCCAGTGCCTTTTGCCAGCCTCACGCTGGGACTGGATACCTGGTTCTAACATCTTCACAGCCAGTATCAGGAGTACCAGGAGGAACCAGCACTGTGTTAAGTTCCAAGGTGACAGTAAATGGGGAAATCCTGGATTTCACCAGCTTGTGAGGTGCTACTGAGTCTCGTGAGCTATGGAGCTGTGACAGACGCTGATCTCTGATGGGGGTCAGCCTGGCTCCACAGTGGGCCAGACAAGATGTATGTGATGCTTCTAGGGAGAGTACAGGAGGCAGCAGCCCTGAGCATTGTGCCTTCAGCTCCATCCCTGCTCCTACAGAGGTGGGGCTGGCTGGGGGAGGGAGTGAAGGGGCTCTACTGGGTGGTCTGTTTCCTTTCGACTGTAGGAGGGCATTGAAGAGTGATCTCTTCCTTGTGTCTGGCCTTGAGCAGAGGTGTGGGCTGCACTTCTTTTCCTCCCTCTAGCTGTTGTGGTGGCTGTGCTGAGAGGAGAGCCTGTGTGGCTGGTACTAGAGGCAGAGCAGCTGCAGGGATCCCCAGCTGCATGCATGGGTTGGAGGCAGGCCTGGGGGAGTCCAGCCAAAGTGTGGGAGTCATCTCCTTGCTGAATCTGTTCTATTGCTCACTAGGCTGTGTATCTGTGCTTGTGTTCTGATCCACCTAAGATGAGGACAGGCAAGTTTTGCCTTGATCCATAATTGTGGAAAAGAACTAGGTTCTAAACATACCTGAAAGTGAGATTGAAACATAAATGAGGGTAGGTGGTGGAATACAAAGTGATTTCCTTCCCCCTTCATAAAGGAGAAAAGCAAAGGAAATAGAAAAGAAGGAAAATGCCAAGAACAATTATGAAAAGCACAGGAAAGGGGTGAGCACCACCATGGGTCAGAGCTGGCTTATAGAGTGCAATGGGGGAGATCTATGTTGGGTGTGATGGATCTTTCCCTGGTGAAGTCCCTCTGAGGGCAGGCAAGCAATCCAGAGAGGGAGCAGAGCCATGGCAGCCAGGCCAGCGGGGTGGTGGGAGCATGAAAGGCCTCATAGGAGCAGCCAGGAAAGACTTTGACACTTTGTAGATTTTGCAGCCCCTGTTAGGTACTTGCTTACAGTACGAGTTGAAAGTGACAACATTACAGCCACCTCCTAGCAGCAGCAGCAGGTGTGTGAGATCTTCATCCTTGCTCGGTTAAACTTCATTCGCTGTTCCTTAGTGCCTGCTGAAGTTTGCCTGAAGGATGAAGCGTTTATTACTTGGTTGCCTCATGTATCACCCCCAAGCTCTTTCAATGACCTTCAAAGAGGCTGACTCATTTTCTAAAATAAAGCAGTTTCTGTTCGTTGTTGGAGGGAGCTCGAAACTTTAACTTCAAAACCTTTATCTTTGAGGAGGCAATGGAGAAACACTCCTTTTTACTCGTTCACTGCATCTTAGTCCCCTTTCCAGCAGCTCTCGGAGCTGCGCGGTGTGCAGCCGTGCTCTCCGAGGGATGGGGAATGCTGAGGAGAGCAGCCTAGAGCTGCAGTTCTCCTCCTGCCCTGGAGATGGGTCCCTCTGACTACCTGATCTCAGATCCAGTTCTGCGGCATGAGCAGGAGCCCCGGGGAACCGGCTCGGAGCAGCTGCCTGGAGACCGTGCAGCTTCCTCCCCCTGTACCCGGCTCTCTCGGCAGGTACCTGGCTGGCTGTGTGGATAAGGTGCTGATTGATGATCAGGTGAGTGGCTGTCTCCTGCAGATGTCTGATGGAGCACCGAGCACCGGCCGAGCCCCACAGGAGAAAGGATTTAAAGGTGTAGGTGTTTGACTCTCCAATACTCCACTTTTGCGTCCTGCTTTGTGTCACACCCTCCCATTTCCCCACCCCCGAAAAAGACTTGAAGAACGGAGTTGGAGACTGGCCTCACATCCCTCTCACTAGGTCCCCGCCTTTCCCCAGGGATGTCACAGGTAATGCAGATGCACTAGGACTGAGGGGCAGAAGGAGGAGGTTTCTCTCGGAATGAGGGAGTTGTGCACTGAACCTGCCGACATTGTCCCTTTCACATTTCCCATATGGGGAGCGGGTTCATCTCTTGCTGTGCAAGGATCCTGCTGCTTGTTTCCCCAAAGCAAGCCCCGCTGGAGCTTTCCCAGGATGCCTGCACAGGATGTCATACAGGGTTGCCTTTTCCTGAGGGTTCACCCCGTGTTTAGCTGATGAACTTTGGTGAGGACCATGCCTCAACTCAGCTGCTTTCAGACTGGGCTTGCAACTCCAGTGAGATCTGGGCAAAGTTGCTTTTAGGCTCTGCCGCCCAGTAGGGAGTCACAGGGTCACTGTGAGAACAACTCAGAAGCACTCGGGTTACACAAAAAGCAAAACTTGGAGCCTGTGCAGGCTCTCTTCCAAAATGTCTTGTCGTTGCTCCATGTGAGTCTTTGTCCAGGTCTGCCTGTGTCTTCACAAGTCTCACAGCAAGTTTTTAGTGCTGCAGCACTGCAGCACTATTGTTTTGCATGTCCCTGGCCCCACACCTATGTTCTGTCTTAAGCTATGCATGTCTGCGGGCTAGAAACATTTTATTTTTTTCTTTGTCCTTTCTTCAACCTCTCAAAAAGAGCACTATAGTGCTTAATGAGCATTCGTGAAAATATTACCAATGCCTGTGTTCCGTTTTCCTTTCTGTGAGAGCAATGGTTTAAGAGTGTGTGCTCTTTCACTCACATGGAGGAGAACCAGGAAGCAGAGCATCCCTGAGGTCTGTTATGAGTGGAGCAGGTTTGAGGGGAGGGAGCTTTTTGGGCAGTGGAGGCTGGCAGCAGTGTGCAGACCTGTGTGTATTCTTCTTCCCATGTTGTGTCCCTTAGCAGCCGTGTTGCCAGGTGGCTGCTCCGGTGCCTCATTAGACACTGTTCCAAAGAGAGGCAGGAGCAGTTCAGCACATGGAGGAAAATGAGCTGGTGATGGATAACCCTGGTGATGCCAAAGCTGTTAAAATATGAACTTCTGATGTACAGCCGAGGTTCCAGAGATGGCCTCTCATCCTCTCTGTGCTCAGCTGCTAGTGTGTGGGGATGGTGCTGGTCTGTGTCACTTCCCTTCTCCGTTTAATCTGGGGTTGGCTGTTGTCTCTGAGTGCTGGCAGCTTGTGGTGGCCTTAGAATCCCTGTGTGGAGGAAAGGAGAGAGCAGATGATCAAAGGTCAGGCAGGCACTCCCCATCAGCAGATGCACTGTTCTTTGAAGCTCTGTCATCACTGATATTGCCAGTGATGTAATGGGACCAAGTGTCCACGGCGTCCTCGGAGCTGTCTCTATCTTTGCTCTCCCCAGCAAGGGTTGCTACAAATAGTTTGTTTCCTTGGCTTTTTTCTCTCTTTTCATGCTCTGTGTGCTCTGGATTCTTGGATGTAACCAACAATAATGCTACTTTCTTCCTCTCTCCTGCTCAGGATTGTGCTTGGGGGTATGGGAGGTATTTAGACTAAGTGAAAAAGTAAATCTTATGTTGTAATCATAACTTCCAGGGCCATACAAAGGGGTCAGGAGTTATCCTTGGTCTCATCCTTGTCCTCTCCCTGTGTAGCCCTGTATTACCTGATGCCAAACTGGGGAGAGGCAGAAAGACCTTCTGTCTGGTGAGGTGCTACCTGGGGGCTGGCTCGCAGTGCCCCTGGTGCCTGGGAGCTGCTCTGAGGCTGGAGGTCGCTGGGATGGGGACAAAAGGTGTGTT